TCAAACCTTCACTCTGGAGAATAGTGCTGCTTATGTCAAATGAATTACTCATATGAGTAACAATTTGCATGATCAACTCTAAAAGTTGTGCTGTCCTCCTATCTTTCTCATCCTAAATGGTTCTTCACTAGAACTTAATTTACAGGATATCTTTACAAGGTTTGACAAGAATATTTTACCACCAAACCAAATATCTAGTTGCCATTACCATGGATGATTAAATAGAAAGTGCACTTATGAAATTTGCAGATGCCATCAAGCTGGGAGGGTTGCAAGCACTTTGGAGAACAGGAATAGATTTCAAAATTATCTTGATAAACTGGAGAAAATCTCCAATAAAACTCAGTATTCAGTAAAACTCAGTACAAAGTATAAACACATAGAAAGGAAAAATCAAAAGCACAAATACAAAGTGGCGAATAACTGGCTAAACAGCAGTATTGCAGGAAAGGATCTGCAGATTATAGTGGACCACAAGCTGTATATGAGTCAACAATGTAATATTGTTCCAAAAAAAACAAATGTCATTCAGAGATGTATTAACAGGAATGTCATATATAAGACACAGGAGGTAGTTATTCTGCTCTATTTAGCCTTAATTAGACCTCAGTTGGAGTACCAAGTCCAGTTTTGGGCATCACATTTTAGGAGATAATTGTGGCAAATCCAAAGTAGAACAACACAAATTATGAGAGATTTGGAAAATACAGCCTACAAAGGAAGGATGAAAGAATTAAGATTGTTTAGTCTAAAAAAGAAAGTACTGAACGATGACAAAACAGCTTTCTAATGCATGAAAGATTGTTCTAAAGAAGACAGTGATCAAGTATTTTCCATGACCACTGAGGGCAGGGCAAGAAGCAATTGACTTAATTTGCAATAAGGGTGATTTAGGTTGGATATTTGGAAAATGTTTTTAATTTTAAGAATAATTAAACAATGAGAGACTACGTAGGGCAGTTGTAAAATCTCTGTCATTGAAGGATCTTAAGAACAAACATGTATCAAGCACAGTTGACACATGATTGATCCTGCCTCAGTAAAATGGGATTATCTAGATGACTTCTTGAGGTCCATATCTGCCCTAGATATCTATGATTTCTGTGAATCCTATCTTCTTATAATTTCCATCCAACTTTTTATTTGTATCAGCACAGTGCATTAGCTGTGTGTTCCTTAATTTTTTCATTTCATGGATACTTCATGAATTTGTACTCAAGAGCAAACACTTTCTCCTGCCCACAAGAATAAAAATCATTTGCTTTAAGGCAAGAGGGGACCTCTCTATGCATCTGGACTTGCTGGTTATCTCAATGGGCATTTTATATTACTTAGGATTTTTTATTTGCCATAGGTGAAATTCAACCCCATGCAGAGGACTCATTTGAGATCTTATTATTCATTTAAATCCTTACTCACCAAAGTTCATCTCTGTCTAACTTGAGCAGCTAAAAGTGAGGAGAAGAATCCTGTACACTGGGCGCGTCTACACGCAAGCATTTACTACACAGTAACCAAAATGACTGTGCAGTATGGGTGCACATCTACACGTGCATGCTGGTACTGCACAGTAAGTATGGCAACTTATGCCAATTTGAGCGTAAATTTGATACCTATATCATGCAGGCGTAACCTGGGTGGTACACAGAAGGTACCCCTCTCCAATTGAAGGGATTCAGTGGGTGTGTGTACACTGCGGGGAGTGTGGCTGCCTAGCTGCAGGCCAGCTCACCTACTTTTCCTACAGACATGTTCAGACACCAAGAACACCCCAGTGATATTTAACTATTTACAAATGTAATGATACAGCATTATATAAAACTTGCAACCATGAACGTACACACACACACACACACACACA